ATGTGAATATAATTTGGTTGGACAGAGGTGACTGACTGCTCAGTGTGTTTAAGCATGAGCCAATCCCACATGTGGAGGTTGTGAAATGTTTGTGAGTGAGTATTGCAGCGTAGAATAAGGTGGAGTATAATACCGCATTCTTTGGTTTAACTCGAAATCGCGCTAAAATTAAACTAGCACATGTGGCAGCCCCTAAAGAGACTATTAAAGGGCAGCAACCTAAGCGAGTATAAAATTTGATCCGATACAAGCACATTGATGTGGTTCAAATTTTGATTATTGTATAAAGGCAAGTAGTGGTTACCTATTCTGTGAATTTTATTTCTTTGACAGTTTGCTTTTGTTTAATTTTATGCTGTGTCCACCAGTGTAAAACCATGATTTTAAACTCCTTTGAATATGAGTGCTAATTTCTGGTCCTAGGTTTTGCAAATGTGGAGTTATCTCTTTCTAAAATTGACTTTGATCGACGTCCTGGCCGTGTCTTTCCTGTCTGCTGTTCTTTGTAAGTTCTTTCTCATTTTTATTTCATATTCATTCACATACTTCTCGTACTATCACAGCACTTTGATCTCTGCCCTGTACCAAGCTCTCTGAAATGTGTACTTGTGCTTTAGCATTACTTTGATTGAGTAGGTCATTGGTATTCTTTTTGGATATTTGCAGTCTGTCCGCTTTGTGGAGGGATGGATGACCTGATCGCCTTGAGGTTGATTTTAAAATACATTACCTCATATCTCCGTTAAGGTTACCGGATTCACCTTGTGGCAAGCTCGTCAATTTCACTCTTCTCGTCAAGCGTGATTTCGGGTTAAACCAAAAAATGCGGTATCTTGGCGGCGACAGCGAGTGGGGGTGGGGTGTGGGGGTATGTGATGGAAAAATGAAAAAATTTAAATGATGATAGTCGAGGTGGCAATGATAGGTCTAATCTTAGACCGGTTTGCTCCGCTTTACCGTGGTGTACTTGTAATGTGCGTATCGTCGCGATAATCCACACTGCCGGAAAGCATTCATTTAAGCAAAGTGCCCAACCGGCCCAATTTTTCCCACGATACTGTAGGACACGGTTAAGCAGAATCCGTTACAAGCACAATCCTCCCCATCAATGCATCCATCTTCCAAAAACCTAGTTCGGGCCCCGCGTTCGCGACCAAGTACCCGGATTCCCCCTTGCAAGCCCCTTCTCCGTGATCAACCGATCGATCGGGGAGTATACGCATGCAGATTGTGGAAAATGCCGACTACCATTCAATCCTGCAAGGAGGGAGATGGAAACGTGATATCGCGTCCGGGTTCCCGGGCCGGGGCGTTGGGACGTGGGTCATAGGTGACTGTGGAAATGCAGGGCAGAAGTCTGCAATGTTAACGGCGCGAGTGAGCGGGCGAGTAAGCAGACTGGAACGGCAAGTTTGGTGTGAGCATGATGCTCAGGGAGTGCATGTGAAGCGTTCGGAATGACCCCGTGAAGAACTGTTGAGAGGGCCGGGCCAAGGGGGGGCACGTTTTACGGCCACCCTGGTTCCTGCAGACTTGGGGGAATGCAGGTTCTGGAAAGGACCATGGGCCCTGCCAGGTGAGATATCGCCCGCAGTCCTTGGAGCTAAACTACGCGAGCGAGTGGCCGTTTGTCCGTGTGCCGAGGGACTCGGAGTGCTTTGGAATATTTTGACCCTTTCTTCTCGACCTTCTTTTCACCGCTTTTATTCATTTCCAAGCAGAGCTGGTGTGTTTAAGTTGAATTGAAAATTATGTCGCGTGCCTTCTTATATGACCATGTCCGGAGAGACATTTCTTTGCTAGCCACGGTATAGTGAGGGGTCATTTGCCGGCGGGCACTGGTGTTTGTCGAGGTTGGGGCATATTCCGGGTTATGATAAAAGACAAGCCTCGCGGCCCTACATGTTAGCCCAAAGCCAGGTAGGCTCCCGCTGCGGCACTATGGGACTCCACATTCCGGGGCATCAAGTCACCCTGTGGCAGGGCCCGCCACCCCTCCCTGTCCTTCAGCCAAACGCCCGGGGAGGGCTCTTACCAGGGCCGGGCGAACTACGACTCATAGCCAGTCCTTCCTATCCTCAGGATAGATGAACTGCCCCGTTTTTGAACACTATGCACGCGGAAGTGCACATTGCGATGTAAGCCCCAATAAGGAGCAAATGGTGCAGTGCAGTGCAGTGCTATAGCGGAGGCAGTACCGCCTGAAGAGAGGTTTTTCCTGAGGACTTACGGAGAGGGGGGGGCATGATTTTTTGCACTCCCATGATGCAGTATCCAAGTACCCAACGGGGTTCCACCTCTTCCCTTCATTCTAGTCGCCGCTGGGAAACTCACCTTCCACCTAAAAAGGTTGCAAATCTGACGCACAGCCACGAACGCAGTACGGCACATAACATCACGGGAGAACGCGTAGAACCTCCCAGACTGCTGCCAGAAATTTCGAGACTTGCGCAGATGTATGAGCAAGGGCGATCAGACTACACAGGCTGTGGGCCGCTGTGTGCGCCCAATCACATGCCTACCGCTAGACATGCGGCCACCACTCAGGGAAATCTTTCACTCGTTTTATTCCATTCCAACTTACCGCATCTTGTTCACCCCGGGACAAGACTCGCAGGACAAGGCAAGACACGAGGTTGGGCGGCATTCATGCTCGGGTCCCTTGCTTACTTCCCCCCCCCCACTCCTCGGCCTCCTGGGTAGGATATATGCCATAGTCCCTGTGTCCACGTCCCGGGGCCCGACCAGTATGCTGGGAACACGAAATAAAGCCTTCGGGATATGAAGTAGAGTAGCCAGGTGTGAGGAAGGGAGGGAAGATCTGGGCCCCGGGTTGCCATGGCGGGGGGGGGGGGGGGCTCGCGAAGAGGGTCATTGAGCAGAAATGTGGTTTGAAAGTAAGTCCTGCACGGTATTCACGGTGCCCAAGGTTCTAACAACCGACTCTTGAGGACAAAATACGCGGGGGCAGTGTCGGCTGATTGACTGACGGCCCTATGAGATTGCCTGCTAAGATTGGAAACAAAGTCCGATGTTTCTTTTGTTCAATATAATTCCTGCAGAGCAATTTTTGCGTTACTCTGAGCTTATGACTGGGATATGTAAATTGATGGGGGCTGAGGTTCCTAATATTCAGCTCTAGCGCTTCTCACATATCCCAAGTGGCTATATTAAATGCTGGTATGCGCGTTACAGGCTGGGGAGCCGATCTCACATGCTTGCAGCTCTCCCCGGATGTTAGCCAGCTTGCCTAGGCGAAGCAAACGGGATTCGAAGACCCTCATGGATGATCCAGTTTCATTCTGCACTGGAGGAGTCTTTTTATCTCCCTTTTGGCCCGGATTTCGTAATTGAGATCTCTCCTCCTACCCGTTTGGACCAACAACGCAAACCTATCAAGCCCTGAACATGCGACAGGCCGGCCGCGAATACCGTTTATCGTACTCAATATCATGCGAGTGTATTTGATCAAACGTTGACCCCGCTAACTCTAACGGCTTTCCGGCGCTGCAGATCCACTTCCACGTGCTTTCCCGCTTGGTAGTAGGTGCGCTAATGCAGGACTTGCAGAAAGGGGTGGCGTGATCTGGCTTCCTTCACCCTTCTGGAAACCCCCTTGGAGAAAGTTGTAGCCGAATCCCTCACACCCGTAAGAGCCTGGTTGACCCCGACTCGAGTTTCCCTAGAACTCATTGTTCCAGATCGAGCTTGTGACCTTGGGCCCAATAGGGGTGCATCCATATTGAAGGACAGGGTAAGGGTTGTTGCTTCGGTAGTTCTCACTAGGGTTATTGCTCTTGACTGACTCCATAAAATAATACTCGAGTATTCGAGTAGAGTGCACAGTAAAAATGCCACGGATTTTTCTGCCGTTTTGCGGCCAATTTGTTGAGGGGGCCCAAGTGGTAGGTTACACCGAGTGATAACGTGAGATTGGCGAGTACCTAATAGGAAGCTGGTAGTGAAACGCATTAGAGCGTGGGTAAAGAAAAAAAGAAAAAAAGAAGAAAGCAAAACAGGCTAGATGGTAAATAAACATAAAGCTGGACATTAAGGTATATTCCTGGTCGTTTCCTCCTTTATTGTCTAAGGGCGAACACCATGTACACCTCCATGCTATGGGAGGCACTATAGGGTGTTCCGTTTGAGCACTAGCCAGTTCCTAACGTCACCGCATCGAGTGATTCTGCAGGACCATCTGCCTGAGGGCTTCATCCATGGTTAAGTGGAGAGTTTCATATTGTCAAAGGGCTTGGTGAACCAATGAGCAACCTCCTTCGTGGCTGAATTTCGATACGAAAGCCCATCCTCTGATATTTTTGGCTCTCTCGGCTCTTCGACCAGGGAGCGCACACAGTTAGACAGGGAGCCAATTGGTGCATGCAACTGGTGGCTGTGAAGCTTCACTTTCTCGAAATATCCGTGAGGGGAGAACTCAGGGAGAGCAGGCAATACAGGGCCTGAGGCAGGCTTAGGAGCTCGAATAGCTTCCAAATTCCCAAGTTCTATTTTAGGGACCATTATCCCCCTTAAGTGTATGCACTTCAAGTAATTGCGCTGGTTCGCCGATGTTGTTGCAAGCTTTATGATAAAACGTCCGTGGATCCTGTCCTGAATACCTCGCCGCAGTTGAACACGATCCACACCTTCCGATACCCCAGAATTCATTAGATATCTTCCTTGGAGATAGAAACGAAAGGGCCGAAAGAATTATCTTGGTTAGTTGCGAGCGCGATATGCTAGCCCTTTTATTAAATACTAATGATTCTGATGTTGGTACTGAGTATAGAAGGTAGTTCTAGATAGCGGTGCCATAACTTGGAGAGCACCTACGGTAAGTTCGGATTGACTTTCTTTTCCAGGTTGAAAAGTCCGTCCAAGAATGGTCAAGTGATAAGTTGGGAATCGGGACCAGAACTGACCGGGTGATCGCAGGTAGGTGGCGGTCTCGTCCATCTGGGGATAAATCTTAGGACCATCTGTGATTTCAGCTGCTCGACATGTCTGAAGTTGGTATTATGGACTCCCTTGTTATGCCTCATATACCTGCCGAGTTGTTGGAGTTGATTCTAGAAGAGGTAAAGTCAAAAATATGGGAAAGGGGTGCCTTATCTATCGCTCCCTTCTTCCAGTTGTGAAAGATTTCTGACTCGATCCTCCTATTGCCTTACCCCCTTCCCTGTTCTGCAGCTCTACGTTATTTCCCCATATTCTATTCCGACTTGCCGTCTGGCATCAAAGGCCTTTTGCGAGCTCGCAACTCCTATTCTATTCCGCACCATCACCCTTCACGCCGAGACGACGTTAGGGACCGACGATAGCCTCCCCAATTATGTCTATTTTGTTCTCCGGGAAGATGGCACCCTAGGACTTCCTGACGGAGTGTTGCCCGACGTTGTGGACATGGTTCGAGATCATACCGAACGCTCCAAAAGAAGGGAGGGAAATAGGGCAATTGCTTTGACCGAGCGCCTTCTTGAGCCTGTGGAGGATTCAGAGGATGCCGAGGATCCGAGCCCAAGAGCATCAATAGTGCGAGAGCTCATCGTGCATAACGACAAGCCTCGATCTGGACAAGGCATATTCACTGAACAAGACTATGTCAATGAAACTCGAGATGTTTTTTCAGCGATAGTGCGTCTGCTCGAAAAGATGACCTCTCTGCGGGTACTGCGTTGGCATTCGTACGATACCCCAACAAGAGAGATTATTGATGCCCTGGCGCAAAATTGCCCAAATTTGAAAGAGACCTACATCTCGAGGCCCACAAAGTATTTTCCTAGGTTTCAAACTGTCGGCTCTCCATCGCCACCAAAAATATTTGAGCCAATTCTTCATACCTTAAAATCTTTCCGATGCAGTCTCCCCGAGGGAAGCGTTGATATTCTACACCATGTCCTTGAGAACTGCAAGAACCTCGAGGCCCTTGGGATAGCGTTTCCACCCACAGATCCCTTAAGTACCGTCACCCCTCGGGGGGAGCCCTGGAGCTTGAGACTGAGATCACTGGAACTGGCCACAGTGGGGTTCTTGAGCGGCGGCGCTGGCGCTGCGGCTCGTTTTTGCAGCTCTTTTGACCTCGGTGGGCTGGAAAGGCTCCGGCTCGATAGGTGCAATGATATACCCACTTTTCTGGAGGCGTTCTCCGCTACTGCTGGTATTGAAAGCCTGAAACACCTTTCAATTTGGACACTTTCTGAGCAGAACGATATGTCCCAAATTATGTCTTTTATCAGCCAACTCGGTCAACTCCAGTCCACAGGAGGATTGGAGTCATTAGAACTTGTAGACCTCGGCGCCAAGATAGACCTCGAAGCGATCGGGAAAAATAAAGAATTGACGGTGCTCAGGGTGACCGAGTGGGATGCATTTATCGGTCCTCCCATACCCAATCATATTGGCGGTGATCAAATCCTGGGGCCGACAAGAGGGCGATTGTTAAACGCAAAAGATATTGAAAATCTAGGGAGAAATTGCAAAGATATATTAGAATTATGGGTGGACGTCTCTCGTGGAACGGAGCTGGTATGTTCACTTGCCCACCTACTCTCGTGCGCTGGGTTTATGCCCTATTTAGTCCCAGGTTAATTAATACTTTTTCCTCCCCTTAGGACGAGTCAATAATTAATTCTTTTGGCTCTTTACCTGCATTGGAGAGGCTCGGATTGTGCTTTCAGCTTCCGTGGAGGCCCTTGGAATCGTTGGGTATCCGAGAGCAAAATCCTTTGGAGACCGAGGAGGATGTCATGGTGTTGGATCAACAGGCAATTCTAAGGATTGCCCAGCTTGTTCACTTGCGTGGTGCAACCAATTTAAGAGAGATTGAAGTCCAGGTAAGTTGATGGGAAGCCGCAGCCACCAGACCTTATCCTTTGCCCTTTCTCTATTAAATATGTGTCGGATTCACGGTGTTTTGTGACGCCGATATACCGGTATCTGAGTCATCATGTGTTAAGCTCTTTTTGTGGAAAATAGTACGGATGCCGCAGCAAACCGGGAGAGCCACCGCAACGCCCGTGCTCAACTGCCGGTGGTGGAGGCATGACAGTGTGGAGGATCCAAAAGAAGGAGGACGACCTCCAGGTGGACTTGTTCAGAGAAGACCAACTGGTGAATAGATACGGTGTACCGATAGCCTATGCTTTTGAAGGATGGAGTTAGGGGTTGATAGCGCTGCACAAGATTGTGTTTTTCTTGCCATTGATTGGCTGTTTTCCTTCTTCTACTCCAAATTTTAGGATATATCATACTTCCCATTAGCCTTATTTCAATCCTCAAAAAGTCTCGTGTTCCCTCTGCATCCGCCCTTCCCTGTAGCTCACTCACTCCTTGTCTGGTGTTTCGCGCGGCTCAGTTATTCCGAAGCACCAACGAATGGTTTTTTCTGCTACTGGTACCTTGAGGCTTCCAAATTCCGTCGACCAAACCTGTGACTGAAATAAGCTACCGGGGCGAGAGCGAACCTTTATGATCCTTTCCTGAGGGGGGCGGTTCTTCGGTTTCATATCTTCCTCCCCAAAATTTATGTTCCCCCGCAGCTCGTGGTCTCACAAAACCGTGCCGCACTGGGAATCTGGTGGGTACTGTACGCACACGGAAGCAACCGGCACTTGCCATATTATTTAGTTCGCTTCTCAATCCATGGGCAAAAGGGTCTTTGGCACAGTGATTTTGGAGTTTGCCTAAAGTATTGAACGAGTTTCGGGGTTTACCGAAATTGTGCTTCGGCATTACCAGCATACTGGTTAAGAACCCAAGAAATGTTGACGTTTTGCGTCTAGCTGTCGCACCTGCAGAATAGGCTTGGAATTGGGGCCGGTCGCTCCGGGGCAGCTAACCTTAAACTAGTCTCCGCGGCGATTGAATAAACTCTTGGTGTCGAAAAGTCTCAGCTCCGGTAAGCGCTTACCACGGACTCAGCAACTCCACAGCCTATCACTCGTCCGGGGCCTGGGGGCACACTGCGGGGAGTATCGGTGGGGAGAAATTATCGTCAGATCTGGGAGAGATGCAGACCAAAGGGACCCAGTCGCCAGGAGAGCCCGACGTGGCCCTGTATGCTAAAGGAGCACTCCCCATCGGGTAAAAGTGGCTCTAGGCCACTCTTCCAGAAAAAAAGTCCCCTCTGATCGAAGGGAGAGATCTACCAGAGACTCTTAGAGCGGGTCATGCTTCCGGGGCAGGCACTAGACGGCCCACTCTGGGCGGGTATGCGATCTCCCCTGAATCAGTGCTCCCGGTTTCTTGGCCGAATTGGAAAGGGAAGTAAGTGATATCCAATGGTACGGTGAGCGGAGTGACGATTTAGAGAGTTCCGTGATGTTCAAAGATCTACCCCATTTTGGGGGAGATGGAGGGGTATTTATGATTTACCGTTGCCGGAATACATCTCGCGCCTACACTCACTAGTCTGTGGGGCTACCGGAATGTAGATTATATGACTGACGGACGAATTTGTCGTTGCATACACGCGTCATGGCAGTGACCGGAGGGTGTCAGGGATACTCACCGGGACCAAAAGCCTATCCCCCAACTCCTCTCACCTAGCAACCCTGACAATGGAGGAATTGTGCAAGAAAGCAGGGAAGCTTCCTTTGTATGTTAAACATTGAATAACACTTTAGTGCACCAGTTTCAAAACCTCCCAGCTATTTGACAGGTGATGTAAGTATCCACAATAGGAAAGTGTCGGCACAGCAGTTTGACAGGTGGGGATGCTGTCCCTCTCCCTAGCCTCATTTTCCAAGAAACGTCCCCCCGCACCTATTCACTACTGTCATACACGCTATGAACTGGAAGGTATATATCCCCATGATCGCCCTGTCAATTTCCAAGAAGCCAATCTTAAAGGAGGGCGAACTCAAGGGACATGGCCGCCAGAAGGAGTCAACTACTGGGCAAAATTAAAAGAGTGGGTTATCTCTAAGCTCACAGAAGTGAACTCCAGTTTACCACCCAAAATTCGGAACCTGGGGTTCGCTTTCCTTCTATCATAACATAGTAGGCGGCACAGCAAACCAGAGGGGAGCAGCGAACGATACGCCAAAAACCGATTGAGTTGGCAAGCATCAAATTTGGGAAGGCTATTTTCTCTGCACCCCTCCTGCCGAGCGTCCCCCTTACTATGCTATCACCTCCCATTACTGCAGAATGGATTCACAAAAGACTACTCTGGACTATTGCTATCTCTCCCCTCCTAAAAGGCGCTGTTGGGGTGTGGGTAAGATTGTGGGATCATCTGAGGGTTGAGGGACAATCCATTTATTCCATCTTGTCAAGGAGGATGATATCAATAGGTCACCGAAGCACGCCCATCAATAGAGAGGCACATTTAAGACCTTTTGTTTAATAATACTATATCGCAGAGAGAGGGGGAGGATGGTGCTGAGGAGGGATCCGCCAACTATAGTTGCTGTTGGCTTGTCAGTTGGTATCAGGATCATTACTCCACCACCTATACGCTACTAGTATCAAACCACCGGAGACCCCCCCCCCACGGAACCTTGATTCAGTACTTACAACGTTCCCCCGAACTCCCCCCACGCTGGCCACCTCAAGGAAACCGCGATTAACAGATTGGTAGCCGCCCTATAATACATTGAATCATAATGTTGGGATCTAAGATCAACCCAAAATTCCATCTTCCGCCCTCAACCAGAAACACTAATATCTTCCAGCCACGACACCTTAGCACACCTCAGTGTACCCAGAAAAAAACCCCCCCCCCAGATTACCACAATTCCTCTCTCTTGCGCATCCTCGATGCAATCAACTGGCATTGTGAGTAATCACAACTCATCACTCGTTAATACCCCAGGGGGGGGGGAGGTCACCGGAAAAATAGATGGGGAATTCGGTGAAAAACCGTACCTCAGCACTGCAAGATTTCGCGCCGCAGGAATGCCTGTGCGTCCCGTCACAGGAATCAAAGTTTCAAAGCACTAGTTACTTTCACTTTCACCAAGACCGCCTAACAACCAATTCAATCAAATGTTATCCCGGAACCACCGAACCGGTATACGACCAGATTACTGTACTAGTACGATAGTCTATCATACCAAGCCACGAAATTCCAACCCACCCCACTCAACCTTCCTCTCCTCGACTGACTAATCTAAGCCGCGAGAGCGTTTCGCGGCCCATCACACCCTGCTAGGTCGGGTTAGATTATCATTTACTCCACCGAGATGAAGAGTGCCATGTTTCTCGTGCTGTGATGGCCAGGGGGATATGTACAGTGTAGTACAGTGTTCGTAGACTACAATTGTGATATGGATTGCCGGTATGATGAGATATGCTGATGCCGGGTGGATTGCACGTGACGGTCAAGGGCGACGAAGACGCCGAAGGTATATATGGTCTATCGAAAGTACCCAAGCGCAGGCTGATATTACACCACGGTCCATCTCCAAAAATGAAAAACTCGGATTTTTTTTTTTAAAAGATTTTTTACGCCAAACTATCATACGCTATGGAGACTTTAACATACATATTTATTATACATACTTACACCCAAACAATCGCAATGCCATCCCCGCCGGAGCAGACGGGCCATGGTATGCATATCTTACTGTAAAGTACACTGGGACAAGAATCAAAAAAAAGAAAGAAGAAAAAGACACAGAGCAGACAATAAATATACAAAAACGCCCCCATGCTATGCAATACAACAATCCCGCCTAACTCTCACAAATCGGCAAGTAATTCTCTTTAGAATCTGGGTCGTGATCTGGGGAACAGAACACTGCGAGGAGCTTGTCCACGACGAATTTCATCTTCTCGAGGTTTACAGTGGCATTGGCGATGCCATCGTTTCTCTGATGTGCTGAGTCAGCACACATACACGGCGAAGGACGTTTAGGAGAGGGGAGACGTTACAAGAGCGAAAATCGCCGCCTTCACCGTGTGATGATAAATGTTCTTATACTCTTCCTTCTCTCTCTTCTCCTCATTCTCATCCGGCACCGGGGGGACCGCCGCCGCCGCAGCTGAAATTGGCATAACGGATTTGCTGCGATAATCCCTAATCCCACACGCCTTCATTCTCGCTACCACCACCTTCACAAGTACATCTCTGTTCCTTCCTTCAACATCGCCAACCTCCCGCTTTACGGCGGAGCCAAAGCAATCACTGCCTTCTCTCTTGATAGCGGTGGACGGCCGACTTTCCGTCCCCTCACGCTTAAACACTGATAGCGACCCGAGCACCACCCCCGGTGTCCCACCACCCGAAGACCTTCGGAGTTTCGACCCAGTGGGAGAAGGCGAGCGTTCATTCTTAATTCCGGCGCTACGGGGTTCGAGGGACGGAATCCGGTTAAGTGCCCTCGAGCCTAGGAGTGTCAAAGGTGGGGGGGGAGGTGGGCCGGATTGCTGCCGGGCTTTAGCGCGCTTGCGTTTTTCGACTATGCTGTCGATGACATCTGCTCCACGCTTCTTGCCAGATGCTGGCGGGTTGATGATGTCCTGTGGATTTGGCGCTATGAAGGAGGCGGCATCCTCCCGGATTGTGAAGGTTTTCTCCTGCGTGACCTTTGGGAGGAATGTTGGGAAGGCGTGATTCGAGGATAAAGGGAGAGCGTGGACCGTTACTATTGTTCGAAGGTTAGGGGTGGCAGTGGTGGTGGTTAGGGCGGAGTTTTGGTCTTCGAGTGGAGGAGAGGAGTGCGGTGGCGTTGCGGCGTCCAACCCCGGAGCTGGGGGTTGGCTAATGGCTCCGTAGATTGCTAGTTCCGTGATTTGCCAATCTCCCGGGGTGCGCTCCGATGGGTTGGATACGCTCACGAGGAGCGCTACACGGGATTGCTCAGCACATGATGAGGAGGTCGGGAGCGGGAGTTTAGAAAGGAACAATTGGCGAAAGTAGAGTTCTGTCGTCGGAGATGTAGTCGTCAATTCCAACGAAGGGCCCGTAGCAAGGAAGAGTGGGATTCGAGTCGGATCGATTAGAGATATTAACGACAGCGCGCATGAGGAGAGACTCTTTGTTAGATGACTGATCACTGAAGGGGGAGGGGTGGATGTCGAGGATGTAGATAGTCGAAGGCCTGGTCGAATGTTAGCTTCGGATAGGAAATATTCCATTGGGGGAACTGAGGGGCACCTTCAAGCGGTGGAGTGGTGGAATCAAGAGAGATACTCCCGGTCCAGATATCCATTCCAAAGACTTTCACGTAAAGTGTTTATAATAATACAAGTAGCGGGGAAGAGGATCGGTGCATGGGGATTGCGAGAGGCGGGAATAAAAAATGAAGGTCTATAATAGGTTAAGGAAGAATGCGGTGATAATGATGCGCTGGCGTTGGACTCGTGAACACTTGGTGGTGGTGGGTTTGAGAAGGGAAGATGACATTGGTAGGAGAGGATGGTGGTTGCTAGGAAGGGGAGAGTTGGGGTTCGCTGAGAGCGCGTTTTCGCGTTGTCTCCTAAAATGGTAATTCGATAGAGGCTGCCGGCGGGTTGGGGGGCTTAATTCCCTGTTGGCGCGAGTCGCGACTGCACCGAGACACCCCGACAGATTTGTCTCTTGGCTCAATCAGGTCATTATAAAACATAAAACATATCATGATTCCGATGTTGCGTTAATTGCGCTTGGCCCGACTCCAATTTAAAATCCAACTTTAATGCTCGAGTACAGTACCGTACCATAAGTCAGGCATAGCAGAGTTGAAATTCCGGGTTGAGACACTGGTATCTTCAAAGTAGCGAAACAGAGCACCAAACCAGCCAAGCAAAACACGACAGAACGACCATCAACTTAAAAGAAAAAAATCTCACGACCCCTATTCCTTTGGAATATCCGCTCCTAGACTAGCGCTTAGAAACTCTTCCAGTTCTTCGCTGACGGTCTTCAACCGATCCTTCACCTGCTCAATCCCCTCAGCACCGACGACAATTCTCCCGGGAGGATTCTCCAACGCTGCGATATGCATAACTATCGAGACCGTCTCTTCCAGCACTTCCTTCGACGGTGGCGCAGCCTCCACAATTCTAGAAAGTGACTCGAAGGTTGTGTATCCTTCTTCCCGGGTGGGAGTCAGGTGGATGCGCGAGGAGAGTACGCTGTCGGTACAACTATCATCAGCAAATGCGATTGAAGTCCAGCGAGTATATGATTAGAGGAGCGAGAGATATACTTGACCTCAAGCGGGGGCTGCACAATTGTAACCTTAATATTGAACGGGGCGATTTCATACGCGAGCGCCTTTTACACCCCACCAGATTAACTCCCTTCCACCTCCAGTCCACCGTCATGTCATATGTTAAGGAAATGAAAAATCGTACATCGCTAAACCCCTCAACCGCGTGATCCCCAGCGCACCTCACCGATAGCCCAGGAGTCCCCATATGTCCCGTGAGACCGGTAACATTCACAATATGCCCACCCCTCTGCCTCCTCAGGAACGGCACAGCGGAGCGCATCATGTTCACGGGACCAAAGTAGGCCGCTTCGAATTGTGCCAGAACATGCGTATGCGGCAACTCCTCCAAAGTCCCAATATACGCTTCCCGCCACACCACCACATCAGTTACCCGCAATTCTCGGGGGGAGAGAGAAGCGGGGGGGGGTAATTACACTGGGAAGAGCAATTCAAAACAACATCTACCCTCTGGAAAGTGTGCACCGTCTCCGCCAGGGCACTCTGGCAGAGCGCGATATTCCTAGTGTCCAGTTCGACGACGGCGAATCTGTCACCGCCGTTCAACTTTAGCTCTCGCATGGACCCATCGTCGGCGTGGATTTCCTCGCGCGTGCAGCCCGCTGCAACGGATTCTCCGGCTTGGAGCGCGGCGAGTGCGATTGCGTGTCCGAGGGGGTACGAGGCGGAGGTTATCAGCCAGACGCGGGGGGGCCGGGGTGGTTCGGGCTGGGGGGCCGGGTCGGACATTAGTTGCGGGCTTTGTCGGCCAAGACCCACCAACGCTACGCTGCCTTGAAATCCAGCAACAAGGTAAGGGATCTCACCGAAGTCACTCAAAAGGGGCAGCAACCAAGGCAGGGAAATGTAGAAAAGTGAGGGGAAGGGAGAAAAGCGAGGGGGAGGGGGGCACGACCACCCTTATGGTGTTGAAAAAGGTACTAAATACAATTGAAAGGAAAAAGGGTGGCAAGAAATTTTTAGAGCCTGTTTGGATACGACCGTTCTGTTACGTTCCCCCATACAAACGACCCTTTTCTGTTCTGAAGACACCAAGACAACCACTTCTCCCGCTGAAATCATCGCTGAACGGAACGGTCGACCCGCCTACCATTCCCGCCAAACAGGCCCTTAAGGTTCATGCGTTATCCTTGTGCTTGAAAACAGACGAAGGGATGGAATGCTGGGTTGTAACCAGGTCAGGGTTCGGCCTTGCTCCCCTGTTTAGGACTCATATGATACAGGTACTGATGTTTCGTCATGCCAGGGTAACTGTCCTACTGTACTAGTGCATCGCACTTGTATCCTCTCAATTCAAAGCCCACAAAAATAAAAACCAGTCACCACCGGCACTCGCACAGGCACTCATCCGAGACCGTTTTGATTTCTTCCAAATCACCCATCTCCCGTTTTGATTTCTTCCAAATCACCCATCTCCCGTTTTGATTTCTCCCAAATCACCCATCTCCCGGGAGGCCATTGACAACTCCCATCCCCCGGTTATACCCTCTCTACCTTCCCCACCGATCTCTGAATATTTCTCAACCTGCATTTAAAATTCGATCCTCTTCGCCTTACCACCCCGCAGATCTCTTTCTCACAATTCTATACACCCTCCTTCTCACTCTTCCTCTAAAAAACCCCCTACAAACAAATACGGAGTTTGTGTGAATTTAAAGTTCAGTTCCCTATCTGTGATAAGCCTAGGATCCTCCTGATCAAGGACGGGCACGGGGCAAAGGAGGAGTGTTTTCGAATCTAGGTATAGTGTAGGAAGGGTGAGCTTGCTAGATCTCACCGACCATTATTTATCATTATACTAACCTGCTATACTAGGCCCCTAAGTGTTCAGATAGCGATTGGCCTAGGTATTAAATCTACCAACAACGGGTCCGAGGAGTTCCACAGCATCCGAGCCCCTAGAGCATACAGCCTCCGGTAGAAAAAATCGGAAAACGCGTCCTCGAAGCACGGTTGCTGAATTGGCTCGAGCCACCAAATACTCCAATCAGAACCCCGGAATCCTTCTGGTTTCATTTCCACATTTTCCGATTTTTTCTACCACAGGCTGTATCCCGCTACCGACACCTCGTGCTACTTCCACATTCTTCTCGGGAGCGGCACGGCTTGTTCCTTCTGGCTACATAGTCTACACAGAGCTTTCTTTTTCCTCTTGTTCTGAGAGGGAGGGAATGTTAGAAAGCCACCTTTCTCCTCCGCAGCAGTGGCTAGGAAAAAGGAACTTCAAATCTTCAGGTACCCTGGTGCCACTCTATATTTATAAGAGGAACTTTGTGATCTTGCAGGAGGGATCTAATCTTGGTGGTTTGGTGAATCTAGAATAGGCATATTCAACCTCCCATGTCCTACCGTAACGGAAACGAAAGCTCGCAGTACTCGGTCAACATACACGACCGGCTGGGAGCTACAAGCAACAGCACCAGTAACCCATTCGAAAAGCAAGCTAGTTCTATCTCACACAAAGTTGAATATACATCACAGGACCAACTAGTCAAGGCCATAAAATCAACGGTTGATTTGGACTCTACTGCCCAAAGTTTTTTACATATCCAAGGCATTACGGATTGTGACTTTGAGGCGATCGAGAGACTATTAAGGGCAGTCCAGTTGAGGTCGGTAGTCCGTTTCACATTTGAAAATTCCTTAAATGCAGCCATACTACGGATCATGCCGGGACCTGAACACGAAAAGGTCGCCCATAATTTGTTTTTAATGATCGTTGGCAAGATTATATCCATTCCTGGACATAGTATGGACTCCATTGCAGCAGTTGGTGCAACAAGATTCCTAGTCCCAGGTGTTCGGAGTAAGGAAGGAGACCAGGGAATACAGCCTGATACACGAGAGGGGAAAGAATCTTGGCCTTCCCTGATGATTGAGGTCGGGTACTCAGAACCACTAAATTTACTTCACCTAGATGCGGAGTGGTGGCTTGTGAATTCTGAGGGTAGAACACGCTTTGTTATTATTGCAAAGATAACTCGGGATCCGTTTCATCTTCGTATTGAATGTTGGAAAATGGGTCCTTCTGTACCGGGCAATACAGATGCCTGGATCCCTAAATGCATACAGGATGCTGATATTGATTCTGCGGGAGTGGTAACATCGCCACTTGAATCTTCAGAGCTACGAATTCCTTACGATTGCATCTTTGATAAGCCTTCTCCAACCGCACAATCAATCATACTCACTATTTCTGAACTTTCCTCGTTTGCGCAGAGAATGTTCAGGCTATTGAAATAACCGGTAATTCTCCTGTTTATTTCCTTCCCACAAGTATTATCAATTGTATTAACAGCCTTTATGGTATAGCTAATCCCGTCCCATCCCCTTCGTCACTCTCGCTCAAATCCTCCCTCCCAAGTCGATCGCAAAGTCACATCGAGCCTTCTACTAGTATACGCATAGAAAAATAAGATTTTGTATCTCTACCTATCCTTTCCCTTTTTTATATCATTATATAGCAAATAGCTAACCACACATACAGCTAACTATTGTCTTCTCATCCACCTTGCCTTGCGTTCCCTCGTTTCCTTTTATATGTACAATTTCTATTTTGCTCAGGCTTTGCACCTGTTTTGCGCATATTTTTCTGCAGCACATGATCGAACTCACGTATATACTTTTCTTTTTCCATCCCTTCTGCTAACCATGCCAAGGTTGTGGTGGACCCACGACCCTTAATTGCTCAAAATCTTGGGCACGTCTACGACGTGCCGATTATGCGGGCCAGGTCATGCTAGGGGTTCGACTCCCCGCGGAGTGGGGGGGGGGGAAGTTGAGAATTAAGAGTCCTTTTTTTTTTTTTTTTTGCTGGTTTGGGGGCTCTACGAGAGTTGGTCCCTCGACATGGCGCTTCGGGTACTTACATATGTAGCCTGTGCGTCGAGAGTTGTATATAAGGGTGCCATCCGATTCACCAGATATTCCACCTTGTTCGGTACCGCATTCAATTCTCGGAAGAAAGCTCCCTTGGATAGATCAAGGCAGCTGAATCTGGCACAATATCAAATACCTCCATAGCACGCTCCGGTACTCTATCACCAAAGCGCCCCGCAAAAGCCATAGCTCCCTAATACAACGTCACAAGAGCACAGTGAGTGGCAAAGAGCGGAGGAAAATGCAGATATTGATTGATCAGTATGACATCTCCAGTGCAGTTTCTAAAGGCTTAGCCACCAAATTCTTGCAAGCGCGGGCGGTGTAGGCTTCGAAGTACATGAGATTAAGCCATATCTTGTATCATGCCTATAAATGATACGAGGCCCATTCCGTAATGGAGCACAAATTTACTTTCGGGGAGGCTCAACCTTCCGCCAGAAGTGGCCCGAGAAATATCATCCATACTATACTATACAAGCGATAACTTGTACTATACTGCTCGCGCCATGTCGCACCCGGAGACTGGAGGATTCCAAACACGGACCCGTACTCAACTCTGATCTCTTGGTCTCTCTTCTTCCCACCATTATCAGAAACTCGCGGAAGGTAGCCCATGATGTTATCAAGCTTCAGCCAGTCATATCTATCCATCAAAACCTGCCGGCATACTACTAATTTAGTATCGGATGACCCGCGACAAGCGACCTTTTTTTTCTCCTCCTGCCGTCTAGGAAGATTGAATTCATGAACGTGAAGGCTGGCTGGCTGGCTGGCCCAACAGAGGTTAAGCTCGATTCTGCTAGTGACACGATGTGGGAGTGTATCGCATACGGTCTCCTATGCAAGCTCAGCTCCCTGCGGCGTTACCACCGACAAATAATTATGAAAGCCATGGACTTTCTTTAATAACATGACACGATTCGGCGAGTTCCCATTTCACGTGCAGGGCATAGTATCATACGGGGCGTTAGTCCATCCATGCAGTGCAAGCATGTTTCTTGAACGCCTGCGTCGCGTGTGGTCGATGGCATCCCATTCTAAACTTGGTGTTGTTGTCGATCAGCGATAGTTTCTTAATTGTAGGGGGTTGTGATATTCAGTGGTATTAGTTCCTCTTCCATCCATTAGGTTATGGGTGCTTCGGGGTGCTTCGAGGTTGTCTTCCCCCTCGTGAGCTTAGGCCTTGTGGAGGAAATTTGTGAGCCAAGTTGAATTGCCCTGCTAAAGCGAATTAACTTATGTGCCATCTCACCTGTTGACCGCATCACCTGCTGGCCGTATTCATAATTCCGGGCAAACCATCTTATGCGTTCGATTGTTTTCGCGTGTTTGTATTGGAAAAACCTGCCTTCTTACGTACAACCCCTCTCATTGCCTACCTACACCTCCTACGACTCTTCGAGTGATATTTCATGACCACCAGCTAACTTATTCCCTCACTTGCCAACACAAAACTTCTCGAAAACAACCCCAAGAACCTCTTCCACATCACCACTACCCTCCCCCCTACCAGTTATCTGCGCAAGACATCCTGCAGCGAAGCGGAGCTCCTCCGCCGCGACGACCACGTCCGCCTCACCTCCCTCGCCCGCGATCCTATCCAGGAAGGCGTCCAGATAGGACATGCACTCTTCCAGGAGCCTGCGTTGACGATCTGTTGTTCCGATTGCATCCCCGAGAGTGGAGAACGTGTCGTTGTCTGTTGCCGCGGCGGTCATTTTCGCGAAGACTTGAGTTAGAGTTGCTAGGAGAGGCCGAATGCCGTCGGAGGGTGAGGGGTGCGTGCATGTTATACCGTGGATGTGAGTTTGTGGGAGGGTTGGGAGGTGTGAGGTTATTTGGTTGAAGAAATGCTCTGGAAGTGTTCGGCCGGGTGGGAGGTGGAGGAGGTCAGTCTTGTTTACTGCAACCAGGACTTGCTTGTATTGGTCTTGCGCCTCACGGAGGACTTCAAGGACTTCGTTAGGTAAGGGTAGGTATGGAGTGCTGCTACCATCATTCCCGTCCTTGGTTTCGATCGATAGGACAGCGATGACGACGTGGCTGCCCTGAACCCGTTCTTTGGCTCTCCGCATGCCCTCCTTCTCGATTTCCCCTGCGAGCTTTGCCTTCCGAAGGCCAGCTGTGTCCGCCAGCAGAACCATGTACCCACCGATGTCTACCGTCAGGTCAACCACATCCCTGGTCGTGCCCGCCTCCCCAGAAACGATCGCGGCCTCCCTCCCAACAACCCTATTCAGGAGTGAACTCTTCCCGGCGTTCGGAGCACCAACAAGCGCAAGGCTTATCCCGCTGCGGAGGAGCTCCCCGCGAACAGCGCTATCTACATGCAGCTGTATCATGGGCTTCAGCTCCTGGATGATGGAAACCACGCTAGAGCATATTTCCGCGGGGGCAGTATCGAACTGCTGGTCCTCCGAGAAGTCGATTATAGCCTCCAACTCGCCCCTCGCCGAGAGTAGCATTTTCCGCCATTGCTCGTATTTACGGCTCAGGCCTGAGGTGGTGGCTTGGACAGAGAGTTTTCGCTGTTGCTCGGTTTCGGCCGAAAGCGTGTCTCCCAGTGCTTCTATCTGTGGCAGCGAGAGGCGGTTGTTAGCGAATGCCCTGCGGGTGAACTCTCCGGGGCCCGCTGGACGGATGGGAACTTGTGGCGTGGATAGGGTTGAGATGGAGAAGAGAACTGCACGGATTATGGCAGGACCTCCGTGAAGGTGAAGTTCCAGCACGTCTTCACCTGTGTGCGAATTTGGTGCTGGAAAGAAGAGCACTAGAGCGCCTGGGTCGAGGACCTCTTCCCTGGGAGAATTGGGGCGGCACAGTGCCCTCAGGGTAGCCTTTCGTGGGGCAGGGGGCGGGCGGGAGGGACAAAGGGATGAGTAGACCTGAACGCGTGGGCCCATCAATCAATCAGCAATGAACAAACACGAGAGCAGAAAAACAAAAACCGAGTGATAATGAAGAGTAGGTGGTTTCGTCCAACAAACATTCAGACAAGCCGGTCCCGAAACCCTAACCACAGCGATAGCCGCCCTCCCAGACGCCGTTGCGAGGGCGTATATGGTATTTCCGATTTCCCCTTTCTCAGATTCGTGAGTGTGTATCCCCCTTGCATCTTCCCCTTTCGCTCGTGTTTGTAAGAGCTGCTGCTTAGGGCGTATCAGGTGACGGCCCCGCGAAGAACTCAATCCTCGTCGATAAGATGCTGTCGTCGGACCCCGGGCACGCCACCACCGTTGCGCCCACCGCCATATCAGGCCACTACGAGTGTAGGGGTTGTTGTTGGCGGAAGCTCCTCCGACGCGCAAGATCGTGTTGCTGCTACCCCTTCCGAGAGTCTTCGAGAGGGTGCTTGACAATTGCAGCATTGGCCTGTGATGATAAATCATACAATGATTGACTGCTTGATTTCCTGTTTATTATTTCCAGTACTCCCAACGAACAAGCAAACGAGGAATCAATTTTTCCACTTGCAACAGCCCGGCCAGTAGGTGACCGAACCGAGCTTGGCTGAAAAAGGGTCCTCTACGAGGAGAAGGGGGAAAACTGCTACGATATAAGCTCGGTTCCAGAAAACAAGCCCGTAACGTACCGGTATGGGAATGGATAGGGTTACAGTATGGGGGAAACTGCGGGGGCCCAGGTTATAATACCAACCCTACCCACACACCCTACCGCGATCACACGGAAATGCTACAGTATTATTTTCCGGAGAAAGGACGGTGGTTCGAGATATTATCCTCCTTCCGTTGGTAAGCATATTGTATTATTTATTGAATCATTTTACCACAAATATCTCACATGGGGGAGCGATAATAGTAAATTTCCCTACCGCACATTCCCCCACAGTGGGGGCTTTGGGGGGAGAGGAGGATAGACGAACCGTATTGATTGGACTGACCCGTCCAAGCATATTGCGCCCCGCTACCGGTGTGGGATTGCGGGAGTTTGGCCAATTGTTTGACGATATTATAGGGTATTGGAGTCGTGGGGTTTTTATTTGTACAGACACCCTATACCACCCCCCGTACGGTAGCCCACCTAAACTAGACGATGCGCTAGTGTCGGCCGGCAGTTGTATGTGCGCGATGATATGATATAATATGATACCGGTATGGTCGCGTCTGAGGATGCGGCACCGCTATCATAACGGGGAAGCAGGGAAGCAGCAGGAAGGGTTTTCTGGGAAAAAGATTTTTCGGGGGTTCGGAGTACGATAGTCGAGTAGCAGACCGTCTTGGCAGGATGGAGCTATTCTAAATGGGGAATTCCCAACCCCAGCCCTGCAAGGAGGGCTTTTTGAAACCCTGGGTACGGACCGTACGGTAGGGTGGAAAAAAGGTGCCTAGACGGGACATGCTTATCGTTATCGGTGCCCGACGGGAGTGCTGTAGGAGGACGTGTTGGAGTTTCCGGAAAAGATATCAGATCTGTTTTCGCGGAACTACGGTACGAGACAATACCGGTGGAATCACGGGGAAAAGTAGGAAAGAAGGGAAAGAAGAAGAGAAAACACAGAATTCTGACGCCGCGGGGCAGTTTCGTGATACCGCCAAAAGGGTCAAGCGCAAAAAGGTGGTTCGGAGCAGGGGTGTTGAGGTCAGAATTGGTGGTACGCCGCAAACTAGCCTCCCTATACTAGTAAACATGGGCCTTGCATTTCTCAACAAGGATCCCGGGAGGGTTATTTTTTTTTTTTTTTTGATCGATGTACGGTATTGAGCTGGAGGCCAGGCACCTGATCTGTCAATTGTATTTGTTCGAGGTTGACCGAGGGAAGAGGAAATAGGGATTCTCCAAGGCCCATGTTTCCCGGGTGTACTCGAGTGCGAGTACTGTACTCGTACAGTGCCGCTGCTGCTAGGATTTGTGGTTATGCACCGTACCGTACCACCATTTTGTGCCCACCCTTACACGTCCGGCATACCTAACGGTGGCTTGTCCTCTCCTCCCGGGGGGGAAGTGTGGCGCCGTGTGTGCATACAGTAGGGGGTTGCAAACATGAACATCAAACGCGGCTGTTTTTCCTTTTCTTCCGATCCAACGTATCACAGCACATTTCACAAGCTTTCACGAGTAGTCCGGAGCCTCGAGTGGGGTCCGAGCCCGCCAGTTAGCCGTCAGATGCAGCAGGAGGCGGAAAGGGAGAAAGGAAGAGGAAAAAAGAAGCTCACAAGTGACAGCACTAGTACAGTACAGTGCCGGCACTGAAGATGCAGGAGTCACGGAAAGATGGTGAAAGCCGAAATTTTCTTCACTTCCCCCCCCCGTCTACCTTCCTTCCCACCGTTTTTCCACACGGTGGGCTATTACCTACCCGAATCAGCGATAAAAGTTCATGATGTTGAGACGCTTCCTTTGGCTCCTGTGCTCGAGTACGGAGGTGCCTCCGTTGGGCTTGGAACGTTTCAGGAAGCTTCTTGGCGAACACTGTCCCTCCCCCCTTCCTACCTACTGGGGGTAGCACGTGCTAGGGGTTTCGGTGAGTGAGGCTTCAGCTAGACTACGAGTAACGATGTCACAGTATTTGGCCTCTGTTTTTACCGGGACCGGTTTAGGGGGAGTGGTCTGGATAACGATCTTTTGTATCTGTGTTGCAGGGGGAGTTTTTTTTTCTTTCCTTTTTGAGACATTGCAGATACCCGAGTACACTATTTGGGACTATTATGATATTGGGGAGAGGGACGGCAAGTGCTACCGGCATTGTGGGTCCTTGTGTGATATACTTGAACCTGTAATACCGGTACCGGTACTGGGCTAGCTTACGTACGGTGGGTCCGGGTGGGAATGGTGCGGAGGCGAGGCATGAGCGAAAGGTAAAGTGGGATCAATAGGAGCTTAATGGATGGGTTACCGTTTTTGTATTCGGGGGTACAGTAGGAGCACCTTAAGTCGGGCGGCACCCAGATTTGGAAACTAACTTATGGCACCAGAAGCAGGGATATGTATAATATGATAGGACTAGAACAGAATTGGATCACTGGGTGTGCTTTGTGTATGAATTTTTGTATGATACATGGAAAAAAGTCACATGACACCTAGTGTCTTGGGTTTGTATTTAAATTGAAACATACCGGTAATGTGAACATCATACCCCTGCTGCTAGTACTGCATTGACATATCAAATTCGACCTCTGTTTGTAGAAACTAGCTCTGGATAATGGCTAACGCGGGTAGGGTAAAAGTGCGGTGCTGTACTAGTACATACTCCGGTAATACAATTCTCCTACCTTATTCACAAAAACGACGGTAGAATAGAATTACTGTGTTGTAGGAGGAAAATTGATCTTATAGGAACAAATATGGTATATGTCATGGTAACTAGCCATATGTTCTCCGCCCCCCCCCCCCGATTTTTAGTTTTTGGCCATTTGAGGTAGAGTCCCGGAGAAGCGATTCGCACAGTACGGTAAATAAGCTTAGATAGGACACCAGTTACCTGCTACCGGGAACCGTGCCAAGGTTATTGGGAATGCACCGGTGGGGGGTGGCGGGACCCGGGAATCTGATGCACATTGGCGAGGAAACGGTTGTTGACGGAACCTGCTCGAGCAGAGAGGACCATGTTGCTAAATCCCGGGGGCAGGAGGATTGTGGTGATCCTGTCATACATGCGAGTCGCCGCGGTAACGGGGGAGGAACGCTTATTAGCCCTAGGCCTATATCAGCGAAGCGCAACCGGTTCAAATTCAAGATCCGGTCTTTGTTATCTAACTTAAGGGAAAAACACTGTACGGGTATGTTCGCGTATCAGTTCGATATCCGCTAAGGTTCACCAAGGCACAGCTAGGGTGAATAAGCCTATCAGGCACGGAAGAGACTATGATTTCCCCACACTTTCAAGTAAATACAGAGTTTCCAACGGTCGAGGGCCCCCCAAGGCGCCGTCAGGGTGCCGGGGCGTGGAGCGGGGTGGGGAAGCACCCCATACCCGACTACCGCAGTCCGCTCCCGGGCTGGAGGTTGTCAGGATGGCCGCCATTGGGCTGGGCAGTGGGCCCTATAGGGTGAGACATTGAAGCTCAGGGGTTGGTGCCTTACTGCAGGGGACGACCCGGATAGTGAGGGGCGGCCAGGGAATATCAGGGACAGCCGGGGATAGTGAGGGACTGACGGGGACTCCCAGGCACGGCGGGGGACCACGGGGGGCCGCGCGGACGATGTTCCGTCACTGTCATGTAAGTCATACCACAGGACAGCAGTCCCACACAGTCAGTCCAGTCCGAAGGTTCTCGGGTGTAGTCCATCGCGGGGGAACCTAGGGTAGTTTTGGGTATTGGGCGGGGAGTCTACTTGTATCATACTAGAAGTTTTACTTGGGCCCACAATTTGCGGCTAACTTGCCGTCACACGATCTCCTAATAGTTTAGTTCAGAGGGGAGCCATTTACTTGTATCATATTATAAGCCCCCAAGGTTTCCCCGCACATCCCACCCTAAGTCGGCAAACCCCTACATCCGCATTCGGCATGCCTACCCACATCAAGCTGGCCATTATTTGGCTGGCCCATGGCTGTGGCGGTGGTCCCCCCCCCCGGGCCCCCGAGCACTTGTCTGCTGGGCTGCCACTGTGCCCATCCGCTGGAGGAATCCCAGTCCGTCCCCCCCTCGGGAAAGTTTCCTCAACACCGGTACCTCCGCCCCCAGTAGCAACAAGTGCTGAGGCCGACGCTGACCTATGTCCCTACAAACATTTCAAACACCCCCTTGTCCTACGCCTTCCCTAATTCCATGACATGCCACAAGCTTTCGCAAAAAATTTCTTGCTCACACTTTTGCTTGCTTACGACTTCTTTCCACGTATTCACCCATCTCACCGCGAAGTCCCTTACATCTTATATGGCAAAATATTCATGCATTTATCGGTTCTCTGAGAAACTCAGGGCTCATATTTTAAGCTACTTCTTGCCCGGAACGCGTGCGCCCTGCCTCCTATACCATGGCACGTCTCGCGATTAGAGAAGAAGGGTAGATAACACCACAGCTCCCTGCCATCCGGCCGTTGCATCTTTGAGACCCGATGGGACGGACCATAGCCTGTGATCCATTTTTTTTCATAGATGCTTGGACAGACGGCATGGGGGTATCATTGGAGCGGACAGGGTTTAAGCTGCACCCTAATGCAGGAGCCGATCGTAACTGCACTAATACTTTTGGAATTACATGTGAAAACACTGGTAAAATACTGGTAAAGCGAAAAGAAATGATAAAAAATGGTAAAGGAAGAGTAAGGAAAGGTATCATAAGCTAGAAACAATACTAAATTTCAGACATCGAGAGGACAATTACGTAGTCAGCATGAGGCCGCTTAAAATCTGTTTGAAACTCTCCCTTTTAGGAAAATGCCTTGAACTCGTATCTCCGAGCCAAGATCTGGCACCGCATTTGGGCCATTTCGGAGGCTCCACTACGAGTGACAAAAAATAAGGCGCGATATAGTAAGCGGGAGCATAAGTTACCCGAATACCGGTACGCAGCAATAACTAAAGGGGCATTTCTGTATGAATTTTCATGTAAACTTGTCGTGTGAGATACGATCCTACGGGAGGGATAAGAAGTTTAAAGCCCGATGGGATTATTTTGCCTTATAATCGAATCTTATTCTGATAGAAGGGTCGATCATGATGATCCCTCGAGGCCTCTAGTATGGCAGTTGCGAAGCACAGTCCCTCGTGTTGTATTGCACCCAAGATAAGGGCGGCTTCAACGCTATACCTTTCATAACATATTCAACATATCCGAGTGGACCTTTTGGTATGATAACTCTATTATGATGGATGATCAACTTATTATAACAGCCCTATTTCTAATTTTTCCCCAAATCTTCCAAATTTTCCATAATTTCCTCTATCTTCCAATATCATTACCATACCTGTAGCATTTACATAATACTGTACTGCGTCAAGTGGTTTAAATACCACATCTACGCCAGCCAGCTGTCTGGATACAATGGAAAAAATGTGGTAAAAGCCACTTCTAAACCCGTTAAATTTTTACCCTATGAAGTAGAAAAATTAGAACTTGAACCAACCCTTTGGATTATCTGGAGATGCTTCAGAAGTGGGGGTGTCTTCAAAACGCTTCATTCAGCCAAGCCAAGCCGCTCTTCCAGTGGCCCCCTGTTAACACATCCTGGTCCGGACTTGGCGGGTTTCCCGAGTTTTTACGCTACCGATGCTCTGGAAAAAAGCGGTCAGGTATGCGGCTCAGCCCCCACGAAGGGTTTCTGCATGAGATCGAGTGCTGAAGAAGGGGATATTTCCCAAGCTTAGTCTAATCCAAGCACAGTATGGTGTAGAACCGACTACACGGCACACGCTTCCATCTTCTGAGTCTTTACGATTACCGTACTCTTGTTCGGCGCACTTGA